CACTCAAAGTCCATAAGTTTATATTGACTTACTTTATTATCATAAATACAGTGAATACTCGGCTGGGCCACTTCCACTGAAGGGTATATACGTTGAAGTATCTTTGGAAGACGACGGAGGAGCTTCTTCGGCCAATCGGCATAACAAAATATAAACATAGTTGCTAACATTGTCCACGGAAACATGCCTAGAACAAAACAATGTTTAAAGTTGCATTCTCATTTTTAATGATCGACAGAAAATCTTTTATGGACCTATGTAAGCATCATAAAGGAGGGGATTAGATTCTGTATAGTTCATGAGAAATTAAGGAAATTAAATTAAAAAGATCATCTTGAAATAAATAAATTGGTCTTAAGCAGTTACAACAATTATAGTTCCATGCAACAATGAAAAGTATTTTAGATTTGGTGAGTAGATACCATGACCTTTGGCACAGGTCAGCTTTATTGCTCTAATATTTCATTTATTGGTTGCTAAACTAGATTTAAAATTTTTTATGGTGATCTAGGGTTCAAAATTGACGGTTGTCCAGTTGCCCCTGGCAACCCTTTTTTCCATGGGACAAGCAAATCTTGATACTAGTTGTTCATAAGTAGTGCTACTTGATCATGTAGTGAGGACATAAGGTCAATGTCTACCTCGCTACTGGGCTAACCAAACCATTACTGACTACAGTGTATACTTTGTGTTTATTTGATATATCTTATCGAACTTTACAGTTATTACCATTTATGTCATTAATAATTAAGTTTGCTATCAAGCCAATATTGTCTATATAATTGATCATCTCTACCTAATACTCTTGTTCTAGCAGCATCTGTATAATGAGTCTCGCTTGTTTTTTTCAGGTTCAGTTTAAATCTTTATTTCAATAAAATCTTATTTTGCTAACAATTGTTCTGCATTGCTGTATGTGACAATCTTGGACTAGAGCTGCATGCGAGCTGGTCTTAATTGATGGAATTCAACCCATTATTTGATTATCAATCAATAAATTAATTACTATTACAAATAGTGGTAGTGATTGGAACTGATGATATAAACTACAGGGCCTCATCCTCGATTAGTCACTTCCAATGACTTCCACTACCTTCTACATCTTCCCAGGTAGCTGCTTTATCACTGATTGCTCTGTTGCTCTAGAACTTGATCTCAAAACTGGTTATACTGGATACTGCCAGGTCAAAGGTTAGCAGTGGATCACATAATCACATTTCAATCAATTAGCAAAAAAAAACAAAGGTCTTAATTACCAATTGAGAACATGAAGAAATTCATTCCATGGAACATTAAACTGAGAAATATTCCAATCGGCCGGGTTTTATCGAAAAATAAGAGGTATCCAGCCATCAGGTCATAGTTTAATCCACCCATATGTACAATGAACAACCCAACTTGATCCTGTGTCAAAAAGTATCTGGAATTTAAAATTAAATAGTAAGTTAGTATTTTAATTAGACTAAAATTTAGTCTTGACAGACACTGGTCAAAATAAA